GACATATTCTCAGGAAATTTTCTTCAAAATATCTAACAATATTTCAGCTCTGTGTGATATTTAAATTGTGTTATTTAAAATTCGCTTTTTGATTGATTTTCAATTGTGTTTTTTGGAAAATTTAATTCAGAGTTTTCCTCTAAATTTAGCTTATACTGAGAAATGCAATTTCAATTTAATTTAAGGCGTAGGATTTCAAGGAAATCTAGCTGAAATTTGAATTGTTATTTTATTTTTTTAGCTATTTCAGAGGAATTTGGGTTAAAGTCGGCTGCTGCTGCTGCTGTGGATGTTGATGTTGCTGCGGCTGCGGCTGTTGCTCCTTTCAGCTGTTGCGCCTGCAGTTCCTTCCGCAACCTGCCCCAAATAAGACGACATTATTCTTAGAATGCCGCTCAATGTCAATAGCAAGATGCGAGGCCGCAGTCACATCACAAACAGCAGCAGCAACAGCCACTACGAGACCTTGAATGTGGTTGCGGTTGTTGCTTTTTTTGTTGCTGCTGCTGCTGCTGCTGGCTCTTGTCACAACAAAAGCTGAGTAAACTTCAAATGCGCATCGCGCTTGCAACTCTCACGGTAGCTGTAGCTGTAGCTGTGTGTGTGCGTTTGCGGAGGGGCAGGCAGATGAGTCGTCATGCAACTGTTCAACTATTGCCTTATCAGCTTATCAGTGGCTCGCAATGTTTGACCAACTTGATATTTTTTCGACTGTTTTCGTTTTCGAGCGAAATAAAAACGAGCAAATAGACAGATGGGGAGAGCAGGGCTGGAGTAGGGGTGCGGGGTGTGGGGCCAGCATCCGTTCGGCATTTGAATGTGGCGCAAAAGTGTTTAAAAAAAGTGAGAAATATTCCAACAAAATAAAAAGTGTCGTAAAAGCGGCGCTGGCTGCGTGGGAAATTGATGGGCAGCGCTGCCTAAGCAAACACAAGCAACTGCAGTCGCGGGCGTCGTCGGCGTCGGCTGCGACGTTGCTGTCGACTGCAATTTGTTGACACGCATTTTTTTGTTGTATCTGTAAGATACAATTCATATTTGTTGAACTTGTGAAAATCGCTGTGAGACGTTGCTAATTGGCTGCATTTGTAGTCGCATTGGTTTTTCTTTACGCTCGCTTACAAATTGAATAGTGAAAAGAGTGGAAAATGGAAAATGTAAATTGTGTATTTACAGTAAATATTTGGGCTTGAATAATTTTCAATTTGTTTGCGTGTAGCTGTGTGTGTGCGTGTGTGTGCTTTAATAACAAAAGCAGCAAATGGTCCATTGCTGATAAAAAAGATGCAGCAACAACAACTTTGGCATGTGCAACAACAAACGGAAAAAAAATTGCTCATTTTTCATATGCAGCGCGCAGCTAACGGGCCACTTGAAGATATCACTTAATGAGATTTGCGCATCTCCAAATGCAACAACAATAAAGACAAGAACAACAACAAGAACAGCAACAAGAGCAAAACATAATGAAGACGTGCTCGAGTTGCCAAGTGCTCGGAACTGGCGTTGGGAGCAACTTTTGCTGCAAAACGAACATCACTTGATTCTGATTAGCGTGCTGTCAAGCGTGAGAGCTGACTACACACACACACACACACATACATGCACTTGTTGTGCGTCATTTTTGACGGGTTGCAAGGGGAAGGTGGGAGCGCGTCTGGGGGGCGCGACGATACCAGCTACAGATAAGCAGCTTCCCGCCTGCCATCTCCCGCCCAGCTGCCGCTTCACTCTGCCCGTCGCTCACTCGTTGTCCAACTGAACCGCCATTTGGCCTCCGGTCTGCGCGTTTTTAATCGCTTAATAAGCTCCAACTCGAGCTCGAGTTGTTGTAATTAAGCCCAGGCAGTGCGCAGCAGCATGGCACAGAGGATGTGAGCAGCCCTAAGCACACATATACATATGAACTCTTATACACACACACACACACACACACACATAGAAACACTGTTGCTCTGCACCTCAGCAACAGTTACTCAACTCTTTTTTGTTTTGCTTAAAGCTGATTTCAAACGTATTGAACAAATTTCCATAAAGGCAAAAGTTTAAAAAGAATTTTTTATGAGAGTTAAATTTCAATAAGGATTATATATACTTTCATATGTGTGTGTGTCTATAAAAATGTATATAGATATATATCTACATCTTCTGGTATTATGATTAACCACTTTGTTGTATTTACTTTTATGAAAACTTTCTTTGAAACGGATCGAAAATAAGGCTGTTGTGTAGAAGTTTGGCTTAGTTATATTTTATTTTTATTTTTATCCTTAATTATCTTTTGTAATTGTAATCCAATCAAGTACTAGAGTTTTATATGAACAGGTGTAAGACTAGACTTGCTATTGTTCCGCGTAGGTGAAGCATTTGGCCCCTAAATGAGGGGCAAACTTGAGTACTAGCTGATTTGATTAGCTCAGTGTGAAGAGTCTTTTTCGACTTCTTTTGCTTTTAAATTAAATGGCTTCTCCATTGTTTCTCTTTAACAATATGATGGAGTAAACAGACTCTGAAAGGCCTGTGATGAGTATAGCTATTATACATTTTCAGCTCCTACTTAGTTCAGGCCAAAGTTAAGAGAAAACCATGTTATACCAAGATATCTTAAAGGCAGATGAATTGATGAAACAGACTGACTTAGTTAGTTTAGTTAAGCGTCATAGCCAGAAGTTAAATTCAACTTTACGGTATTTACTCTACCATGTGCAGTATATTATCTTGAGAACGCTCTCTCAAAGATAATTTAAATTTAACATTCTTCGCTTTCAATCACGAATCTCTTACTGTATTAAATTGGAATGCGAAGTGGTTCAAGTTTTAATGTAAATAAAATAAACTCAAATTGAAGAACTGTTATTTTACTTAACTAGCTACAAAGGCAGCTCATTTATTCAGAGTAAGAACTCGCATAAATATTCGGCAACGTTGCCTACTTTCGCTTAGTTAAAATAATGTTTATTTACCACTTGGCTGGGAGTTGCTCTCTGTTGGACTTGGACTTTTATTTTGTGCTCTGTTTACTCATTGAATTGCTTTGATTAAAGCCAAGAACTGTGCCAGCCGAGCCGCAAAATGCTGTTAGGCACAAATTTGCACCTGTGTAGATACAGCACACACACACACCCCCACACTACTCACACACACTGTGCTCTAGCTGAAAGCAACGACAATCGAAATTCATTGCCTCAGCTAGTAAAATCTGTTGCCAGCTCATGTTTATTTAGGATAAATAATTCAATATACATGAAACGAGCACACTATATAAAAGTAATCCGTGCAGAGGCAACCTATATCCAACGCCCACCTGTCACGCCTATGTCTTTGATTGAATTTGTTTCGGAAAGTATCTTTTATATTCACTTTTTCTCTCTTGTTTTTTTTTTTGTTTTGCCTAACATGCTAAATCGCAATGGCGCTTACACATGTCGTGCGTGACAGACTAGTAGATACTTTAGATACTTTACTATTATTGGTATAGTATGAAATTCGAATGTGTTATAATATTATATTGAATAGAGTTTGAAAAATATTTTTAATATAAGCCAAAACTTACTGCATGGTGAGGCATATTTATGGAACTTAACTACACATTTTAAAATATATAAAAAAAATTTGAAATTTATTTTAGTCTTTGAAAATTGTTAAACTTGTTTTGGAAAGGATTTAGGATTAGGATTTATTGGATTGTAAAAAACCTTAAATATCACTTTTGAAATATCATTACTTTTGAATATTCAAAATGGGGAAAATATAAAAATTTATATAAACTATCGAGTCTTTATATATGATTTTTTAGATACATATAAATTTGAGCAAGAAAAACTAATAGATACAAAAATGTTTGTTGGCTTCTATAATTTATTTGAATACAACCACATATATGACTATATACATATATAAATTTATATATAAATATATATACAAATATAAGCACATTTGTGTGCAAACTGGTATATAAAGTATATGCTCATGCGTGCATAAGTTTGCTTTGGTAAAAGTGAATTAAGCTTTGTCACCAATTTTTGCACAGGACTCGTCTGTTCGTGAAGTTATACTCAAAGAGAAGGAGAGAGAATTCGTGTGGCAAACCATATATTTCTTAATTTTGTTGTTATGCTGCCCGAGTGACACGAAAGGCCAACAAATTGTAGTTTCTTGTACAATCGATATAGGTCATGTTAGCCATCAAGCCAAATGACAGCCAATTGCACATTTCGAATCTTTTGATAGAATTCATTTGATTTCAATTCCCCTCACAATTTGAATAGGTTTCTATAGACGGCAGATGATAACAAAGCATTGACAATAAATTTCATTTGTATTTGGCTATATATACTGTGTGATTCGTTTCTATTTAAGCTTTTTGGCATTGCTATGACTCCAGCAGCCATTTGCAGACATTGCAATCCTGTGGTTCCTTTTCAGGTTGTTGTTGTCGTTCCTTTTTATATACTTGTAACAAAAGGTATATTGGCTACTTCTAGCTCATTGAGTGTGTATATATATATATACATATATATATATAAATAATTATTATTCCATCTGCCTGTCAGTAGTTGTGAGTGTATTTGATATATGATCCATCTTTGGCATTTCCTCTTCTCCTTACTTACTTTTGGGTATAGCCTAGTCCAGCACTCCCCACAATCTTGTTCTCTCTTGTTGGTTTTTTTTGTTTGTTTGAGTCAATATAAAGTTCTTGCTGCAATCTAGAAGTTTGTTAGCCTTGGGCGCAGCTTCTGTTGCTTTCCCCTGACAAATAAAAGTTTTAATTGCAATTTATAGTTTGACATAATTCGCGAATTTCCCATCGCCAACGGCGGCCGCCACCGACGGAAAACACTTTTCCAAAGCAATTTTTTGTTCTTGTTGTTGTTTGTTTCTCGTGTAATTAATGTCAAGTAAATGTGAAGCACTTGCACTTGCCAAAAACAAAAGCTTTTTATAAAATATGCCATTTAAACTCATTTCACTTTTTGCATCTTTCTTGAACTTTTCAGAGCGCCCTCCGATCGCAAGAAGGAGCACATCAAGCGACCTATGAATGCTTTCATGGTCTGGGCCCAAGCAGCACGGCGCGTCATGTCCAAGCAATATCCACATCTGCAAAACTCTGAGCTGAGCAAGTCGCTGGGCAAACTGTGGAAGTGAGTATCAAGCAGAGGGAACTGTGATAGACTAGACAACTAAAATCAAAGATGTTTTTGCTGATCGCCCTTTGAACTCATGCTCATATCTTAGGTAGCGCCCAGTGGCAACTCCACAGCTTTGCTATTCGCATTTCAGCTGCAATTAAATATGACAATTTTCATAAATATATATACATTTATATATGCGTGTGTTTGATAGATGTCGGCGTCGTCTTCACATTGTTTGTAAGAACAAATCGGTTTCGAAATTAAAATCTCACAGTTCAGCGGGTGCGCGATAAGAGCGTCGAAATGTCGAGAATGCGCTGATAAGGGTGCAGAGCCAAAGCATCCGCCTTGAGTTAATTAGAAGGCCGCTCGGCCTGTCACTGGGCGACCAATTTGTAGACCAATAAATAAGCGAACATTTGTCTGGAAGTGGCCATAAATTAAAGCGCTGATTGCGCATTCCCTTTGCCCCTCTCTCTTTCGCAGAAATCTGAAGGATAGCGATAAGAAGCCGTTCATGGAATTTGCCGAGAAGCTGCGTATGACGCACAAACAGGAGCATCCCGACTACAAATACCAGCCACGCCGCAAAAAGGCTCGTCTCATGCCCCAATCGGAGGCAGCTAACACAGCAGCAACAGTTGCTGCTACGCCAGCAACAGCTGCAGCAGGAGCAGCCGCAACAGCAACGACATCAACTGCGCGACGCAGCTCCAGCGGCCATGCACCACAGCGTCGCACGAGCAAAGCCAACAGCAACTGCGCCAGCTCTAGCTTGTGCACCACCAATAACAGCAGCAGCAACAGCAACGCCACCACCAACACCACCGACGTCTTCAGCAATGAGGCATTCATGAAGTCGCTGAACAGCGCCTGCGCAGCCAGCCTGCTGGAGCAGGGCCTTGCGCTGGGCAGCGAAACAGAGCGCGGTCTGCTCGACTCGCCGTGCTCGACGGCCAGCTCGATGTCATCGCTGACGCCGCCGGCCACGCCCTACACGGGTGTGGCCAAGCAGCCGACGGCTAACAGTCTGCTGCTGCGCCAGCTAAGCGAGCCGAGCAGCGGCAACAACAATGACTACGGCGTGCTTCTCGACGCGGGTCGGGAATACGTTGCTCTGGGCGAGCTGAACTACACTACGCAGAATGGAAACGGAGTGGGCGTGGGCGTGGGCGGTGTACAGGAGATGGACTTTCTGGAGAATATCAGCGGCTATGGCTATGGCACGCGTGGCAGCTACACCAACTACGGCTACAACGGTGGCAACTTTCCAGCTGCCGCTGCGGCAACAGCGTCACACGCCAATGGAGCGCTAAATTACTTGGGCAAGCCGGCGGCAGTCGACATTGATCCCAAGGAAATGGACCAGTATCTTATGGATCAAATGCTGCCCCTAACGCAACAGCATATGCCAACCGCGCCCGCCGCTGTGGCCGCACACTCGCCGCCGCTTAACTCATCCGCCTCGCTGTCTTCGGCCTGCTCCAGCGCCAGCTCCCAGCCCGTCGAATGCCTGGCCTCCCCTAGCGCATACTACGACCATATGAGCTACCCGACTCAGGCAGCGACTAATAATATTGGCTATGCACACTATGTGCCTGAATCCCCACAGCAGCAGCAGCAGCAGCAGCAACAGCAGCAGCAGCAGCAACATGAGCAACAGCAACAGCTGTCGCAGCAGCAGCAACAACAACAACACCATCTTTGGGGCACTTATGTGAATCCCTAAGCTACTTCATTTGCTGCTGACCTTTACGGGAGCAGTCCATGGCTTTCGTTTATTGCTTTATTGTGTGTGTGTGCAATCGCCAGAGCATGTTGTGCAATTTAAGCTAATCGCAGCGATTCTCGTTTATGGCCAAATTGTAGATGCAGCCTCCAATGGCCATCATTGATGAATGCACAAGCGATGCTCGACATTCATAGCACTATTTACGAGCATTCCCACTTGCAAATCGTTACCATTGTGCCATGACAGTTTTGGGGGCGAAAAAAATTGATATGAAAATGGCATTGGCTACCATTTTCGTTAGCCAAATTGGGGTAGGGGGGACAGAGGAGTTTATTATTATTGAATCGATGGCTTGGCTTTCTTTTGAGTTACATTCGGATGCTGCATACGAGTATATATAAATCTCTATTTGTTCAATCGCAAATTCATGAGCGAAATATGTGCATTCGCCTTTAGTATAATAGTTGCTTGATTTTAAGAGTTAAAGCTAGGGACTTAGTCTAAGCACATTTCAAGGGTATAACAATTTGGCCAACATAGAAATAAATTTATGTATATGTATTTATGTATTATGTGTTTTTATCGCACATACGCCCTGTGAGCCTTAATTGCCTTTCTAATACAATTAGCCATATTTATTGGTAATTGAACTTAGCTCTAAATTGCTGTTACATGTACATAAATGTGTGTAAGCTATTTAAAAATTATTTTAATAAAATATGAGTAGTTTATTAAATTTAAAAAAAAGTTATATACAAAATATATATAAATCATTTATAGTTGAATTTAGCCTTTAAATTTGTATTTTTACTTTTTTCCCACAAGTACTTTGTGTGTGTGTGTGTATGTGTGTGTTTGTGGACCTGTAAATTTCATAAATTCGAAATTCCACTGAAATTAGCACCCGCCCACCAAATAGGCCATTTACCTGTATATTTATTTCAGCTCGCTTTTGCACAGTCTACAAAAATGAAAACCTTATGCAGCTATATATATATATATATATATATATATATATATATATATATATATATATATATATATATATATATATATATATATATATATATCTGTACATGTATAAATGTTAATATATTTTCGTTTTTTTTTTCTTCATTTAGCGTCGCGTTTATTTATTTATTTATTTCAGTTTCTTTTGAGAGCTTAGTGGAATTTGCGCATGTAACAAGTTGTTGTTAATTGAAGCGCAAACAGGGCGAGAAAACAAATGAAAATGCGAATTAGCAGACCCAACCGAGCCGCACCAATGGCAAAAATGGTCATAACACAAAATGGCCGAGAGCCAAGCTAAATAAAATCACAACAACAATTAAGGTAATAAAGCTTGAATACCCTGGAATATATAAAGATATGTAAGCTCCGATAGTTTCTGGCATAGACATTTAGAGTAAAATTTAAAGAAAACTATTGAAATAGTTCAAAATTTATGAATTATTTTTATTTTATTATTTTTCCCTTAAAAGAAAACAAAAAAGTTTTTAACAACAATTTTATTATCACAGAGGGAGCAAGTTAAACAGTTAAACAGAAAGCAAATACTTTCATAGATGTAGGTTTGAAGAGCTTCAATAGGTTGGTAGAGATTGCTACAAAAGGAATCTCATTCAAATGTCATTCTTGAAGAATCGTTCAATATTTTCATCCAGAAAATTCACTTCTAAGCTTCTTAAAATTTTTAGGAAATAAATACCTAAAATAAAAAAAGTATACTAAATTATATTATAAATTTTATTATATGTTATATTATATATTACGCTGCCCTCTCTGGCTGGTGTGTACAGCCGGTTAATTTCAAAAATAAAAGCTCATGCAATTTGTTTGTAGATTTGCGCACAATTTAGAAAGTTAAAAGCCGTGCGCAAATTGGGCAAAAATGTTCGCTAAGCCAAATTAACACATTTCCGGGCACTTGTTTGTTTATTCACATAATTTATGCAGAATATTTATTTAAATGATTTCCGGAGAGTTCGGTGATTTCACAATAATTAAACAACATTTGCGGAGTTGCAAGATTTGCAGCTTATTTTAAAAACCGTTGCTTATATCAAGTAATTAGAAAGCGCTAAATCTCGATTAAAATGCGGCACGATCTAACAAATGTTTTGTTTGGATTCATTTATGCCCGGACAACGAGCCTGTGGCTGTGTGTGTATACATGTTGTGTATGTGTGCGTGTTTGCTTTTGTGTAAATGTTATTAAAACTAATGACGTTTATGGAAAACTTTTGCCGGGCTCTCGGTTAGCAGCCCGGCGCAGCCAGTTTTGGCCTGGTCATGCAACGGGTCGTATGCGTAATGAAATTTTGTTTATCTTGTGTTTTTTGTAACTGAATTAATGGCCGCAGCCGAGGGTGGCATAGAACTTTTTTAAATTCACTTAAATTCGCTGCGAGTTTAATTCGCTCATTATGCTGACCAGCAGCTTAGGCAGGTCACCTGGCCCGGAGCTAGAGAAACAGAAAACAGAGAACAAAAAACAGCAAATTGGAATTGGAGAAGATCCGCCTAATGGTCATTGAGCTGGCTTGGAGGAGGACATTGTACGTCCTCCTTGACCCACAAATAGCAAGGCATGAAATTTTCAATGAAATGAGCAGAGCAGAGAGTTGAAAGAAGCTGCGTGTCAAGTCGTCTTCGAGGACAATGACTGCGCGCTGGGATGCTTTTGATAATGCTACAATCCGGCCTTTCTCTCTCACTGTCTCTCTTCTTCTTTTGTCCACCCTATCTGTCTGGTTTTGCCTTTCTATAGCATTTTCACGGCAGCCAAGTGGGAAATGTCAGGCACTCAAGCAGCAGCAACTTATCTGCGGCAAAAACATTTGAATAAAATATAAGGCGAGAAAAGTTAAATGTAATGTAAAAGCCACAGCAGCAGCGACGTCGTCTTGGTACCAGTCAAATTGAAAATTTGGCTTAGCTTAGCTATACGCTTAGCAAGGATACTGATGACAATGTAATCAATCTGAAAAAGACTGTATAAAAAATATTTTTTGTTATTAAAAAAATCTTAACATAAAAATTGTAAAAAAATATTTTTAATTAAATTATTTAAAATCTATATAAATATTACGTATTATTATTATTTATTTTATAATATTACGTATTAGATATGCTCTCTGCATGTTTTGACAAAATAATAAAATATTTAAACATAAGCATTGCGATTTCAACTGAGAGTATAAACCATTCGTTGATATTTTATGTGCCCGCTGTGCTGGTCAAAACACAGTCCAGCATCCAGATGGATGTATATATATATATATATATAACTATATATATATATATATATATATATATATATATATATATATATATATATATATATATATATATATATATATATATATAACTGAAAAGAGAAACGGCTATTATGTGGCAAACGAGAAAATGTTGGGGACTTGCAAATTTCTGGAAATTTAAATTTCGGTTCAAATTTAGGCAGCTGGCCAAATGATATTTAATGTGCTCGCGGACCCTATTCGGAGCTCATTATGTAATAATGAGTGAAAAATGTGTAGCGAAGTTACGTAATTGCGTGTAATACAGCCAGCAAAATGCTTTTGATAATCAAAGTAATATTTGAGCGAAAATGTTGCATACTCTCGGGCGCACAAATTAAAATTTCTAGAGTGAACGTATTTCACATTTAAAGAGGGTCGAAAACAGAAAAGAAATATAATCAAATGCTATAAAATATGAGATTATACTTTTTCAAGTCAAGTGAAAGTGAAATTTCAAGGAAAGTGAAATTCGGTATAATTTTGGAGAAATTCTTGAATATTAAATAGATAAAAGCGTCGATGAGCATGCTGCAAGTGCCTTAGGGCAGGGCGATTGGCAGCTTAGTCAACTTACGAGTGTCATCCATCAGCATCAGTCAGCGTCAAAGCATCCAAATTTAGCCATGCACCCACATCATAAAACAGAGTCTGTGGCCATGGCTCAAATTGATATTATTTATCAATAATTTTTTTTATCATGCGGCAAATGCCACAAAATGACAAAATTTGCGCTGCGGTCGGCCAACAATGTGCCACGAGCATGCAAAGTAAATAAAGTGAAGCTGAAATATGTTTTCAACTATTTTTTCCCTCTTTTGAATTACTTTTTGTGGGCTTCAAGCGATTCGGTTTTAACATATTTTTAAATAAATTTTATGTTATTATTGAGTTGACAAGTGTTCAACGTTTTCAAGCTTCAATTCAAATTGGATGCGAAGGGAATCAATAAAACGTTTTATTTATTGTGGAACTTTTATGCACATTTCTGGTGAAAATTGATGGTAAACTATAAGTGACGAATGACATAAGTAAACGCACCATAGATTGATGCGTGTTTTCTGCGAACATGTAGGTAGTTGGTCCAGAGATGTTTTCTTTAAACCTTCTTTTGAGTGGTATCCTGATGTTGAAGGGGGATTTCCTTTTCCATTTTGCAGCGCATTGAATTATGTTTCTGATAGGTTTGTTTTGAAGTCATTTATAATGTCCAGAAAAAAGCCCATGGCGTTTTTTTTTTGACTTTTCTGTAGATATTAATTTCGAGAAGCAAATCTACTTGTTTTAATAGTTAAAGTGACTTGTTAAATTTGTTTTTTCATGTTAACTTTCAATCGATGGCGAGAACATTATGTTTATGTTTAAATAGTATTTTGGGGCATGTTGCAAACTTGTGTTGGGCAAAAAATATTTCAATGTTTGGCCCAGTTTTGTAAAAGCTTAACAATATGTGACAGTTGGCAGCTTGTGAGTAACGAATAAAGAAAATGAATGCAAAAGCTAAACTAAATATAGTTTTGACAAATTTATGTTAGTTAGAAGCAGTTGACTAAAATCCTTTCTTAAGTGCTTTTAAATGACATAAAAGAATTTGTATATTTTTAAAGAACATATCTATATAAAGGTCATATATAAAGTAATATCAACATAGCATACACATTTAAAGTTTAAAGTAGCGAAAGTATTTGGATCCTCATCATTTTTCTCATTAACTCATTTAATGCTACGCTTCTTTTGGCTTGCATAAAAATTGCGCCTTAATCAAGGTGAATGCATATGAGTTTATCAGAACTATGATTATTATTTCACGGGCAGGTGGTAATTTTAATGAGTGCGTGCTAATTAAAAAGTTTACCTCACTGCCGGAAATTACATAATGATTAATGCACGCATACGTTGAGGAAGCATGGAGAAGCCGGAAAAATCATATTTTCAATTTTCAGTTCGGACTATGGACGTGTGTGTGAATGATGTTACTTTTGACCCCAGGTGCCAGCTGTACAAACAGCTCTGAAATGTCA